GATTCCTCGGCCTGGCCGTGCACCGGCTGCGGCCTCCTGAAATTTGAGTTGCGCACTTGAACTGCGTCAAATGGTGCCAGGTTTTAAAATAAATGCATGAATATGTAGAGACACGGGCATTTCTCTGGACTGGCTGAGCTGATAATCTGCAAAAGCTCTCCTGCTTCTGGTACCTGTTGGTCAGAGCATTGAAGGGTGTGATTTTTCAGCCAGCCTTTCTAGAGTTTCTGCTTCTGCTGCCTGCCAGAAGTCACCACCTTAAGAAATATGTGCTTACCCGTGTAAGAAGATACATTCAGCCTAAAGGTTTGGGGTGGCCCGTGCACATGCCAGCACTGAGAAGCAAACGGAAGACTTTCTAAGGCATGTGTAGATGGCTTATTAAATAAAGTGGCTGTTATGTCTGTGTAACTTGACTCTGCCTTGTTGGAGAGCTTAATCTTACTCTGGTAACGTGTACAGCATGGCAAGTATTTATACATGCACCTACGTAAAGAAGACTACTAATCTATGGAGTATATGATGAGAAATGTTTACAGATCATAGGGAGAGACTGCATCTTGCTAGGTCGGGGAAATAGAAAAGCTTTCAGGATCAGATGCCCGTTTGCATCTAAAGAACTAACAACTTGAATACAAACTACCTATCTACAGTGTTTATCTACGTTAAGAAGCAAGTGCAGTATTTCAGCCTTGAGGCTCCTTAGGCTGTCTATTGCTAGGTAGTCAAGTCTATATGGAAGCTAATTTTGCAGAGTCAACATATGCCTTCCAGAAGAGCAGCTCTGAAGTATCTCCAGGCTCTCCTGGAGTAATTGCTAACGTCTATGATTTGAGTGTACTCAGCTCAGTTGGCCTTGTGTTTGGCAGTACAGAAAACTGCACTGAAAGTAGGATTAGACTCACAGAATTAGTCTGTTATAGGCCAGTTCTACATGCTGCAGGACCTTTTGCTGTATATTACTGCGTTCCAGGAACAGCCTCTTTCTCAATGGGACTAACAGTGAAAATACAAGGTGGAGGGGTGGATTTCTTTGGTCTAGGCAACTAAATGTGGATCTTATTTTATGAAGCGCCCCCAGGTGCTATGTGCACTTGTGTGTGGAAATTCCCTGTATAGGAAAAAATCCCTGTCTCATAGAGTGGATGAACTGTGAAATGCCTTCTCTCACACCACAGATGCTTTCACAGACTTCTGTCAGACTAGCATGAGTTAATGTGTGTTTTATGTGATGTAGTTAAAATTAATTTAATTTAACCTTATAATGGAAATTTGGCTATACACCTCAATGTGAATTTAGGAGCTAAAAAAAATTCTTAAACCTAGTTTGTTCCATTTGCTCAATTCTGTGGCCTGCTCCCCCATCACACGTGCATATGCTTTTCTCCCCCACAAAACCGTGAAATACCCAGAAAATCTATTGCTCAGATTTGCAGAGGCACTGGTCGAGTCATTATAAGTCACAGGAAACTCTTCATGGAGCGTGCTGTGTGGAAACTAAATACCAGACGTGAGGTCGAAGCTCACATAAACCCTTTTAATAAACCCTGACCCTGGTTAGGAGTGAGTAGTCTGGGTGTGAGTGAGGGAGGGTGTGCAAACTGAAAACAACCCTGCCACCCACCTTGAAGCCTTCTCTCTGGCAGACTCAAGTCATGTAATGTCTTGTTTAGGTCAGGCTGTTTCCTGTGCTGATGCTGATGTGCTCTGCCTCCCATTGGACAAACTTTTCAATCTCTTAATTCACAATGTATCCTTTGTAAAAAGTTCTTTAAATAGGATTGCTATGAATCTTCCTTAAAGCTAGTGAACTTATTTTGAGAGGGTATAGGTGAAAGGTAATGCAAATTTCTTACTGTTAAACTTCACTGTTAAGAAGGATTTGTACTAGGTTATTTGCCCTCTAACCACCTTTCTCTCTCTTTCATTCTCCACCTCCTCCCAGCTCTTTCACAGATTTCTTGCCTGATAGTAGCTCTTTGTGCGGTGTACTATAAGACATGGCCTCAAAAAGAGCATTGGTGATTCTGGCAAAAGGAGCAGAGGAAATGGAAACTGTCATCCCCACTGATGTTATGAGAAGAGCTGGAGTGAGTATGCAGACAATGAAAAATCTTTTAATGGGCATTTGTTCAAGTGCATATCTTTGCCTCGAGCTTGTGTTTGTTGGGCGTTCGAGGGCTTAGTCTGTTGTTTGGGATGAAAAGTCATCTATGTCCTCTTTCTGGTTAGCAAGTATCTATGCCATACTCCAAATAGGCATGCATTACCAGACACCATTTGTGCAAAAGATAAACATTTGAAGTATGAGGCTGGTGGAAACTAGAGCAGATGTTTCAAGTAAATCTTATTCTGTCAGAAAACACAACAACTTCCATGCATAGGACCAGAAAGTGCTTTTCTGTAGGGGTCTGAACAGTTCTGTACTCATCAGGTGCATGACCTTACCTACCTCTTCTGGAGCTACTTTTAAAATTCTTTTCTCAAGCTGAATTCTCTCTAGTGGCATTCCTTGTGCTGTTAGCTACTTTTGCACCTGTAGTGATACACAATGTTAGCATCTAATTAGACATGAAAATGAACACCAACTTCCCACGTATAGAAATCACCAAAATAAAATTACCTTCTCCTTCCGCCTTTGTCATTCCATGAATGTCCTCCTTCCTTTTTTGGGTGCCATGAGAAGCTCGAGCTTGTCTGTTGATTTAGTGAATGTGTGCTATGCTATGCACATCTGTGATATTACAGCCGGGTATCTCAAAGTGAAGAGAGAGAATTTAACATACCATAATTGTTTTTGAGAATGACTGGAACCTGCAGAGAGACTTCAATTCGTTGCCTGATCTACTTAGTCTTGGTTGAGTTGTTTTGTTTTCTTTAAAACCTGTGGGATCAGATATTCTTTAAATGTACTGTTTGAAAAGTTGAACTGTTTGTTAGGGGTGTTTGTCAATCTCCAGGTGAATACCACTGCCGCTTGGGGAAACTTAAGTGTTGCTCTGTGTTTGACAGCTTTCAGGATTGCTCAGGTTGTTCTGCGTGCTACTTTAGAGCTAACACCTAAGAAAAATCCCATAAATTAATGTATTTTCTTGAACTGTAATGATATATGTATTCTTCTGTTAGATCAAGGTGACTGTTGCAGGCCTAACAGGAAAAGAACCAGTGCAGTGCAGTCGTGATGTCTTCATTTGTCCTGATGCCAGTCTAGAAGATGCCAGAAAAGAGGTTGGTCGCCTTGATCTGTTATAATGACTAGTACGGCCTTTCTCACAGTTTCAGGAGTGAATTTGGAAAGTTCCTGCATTACCTTTAGAAATGCGTTGCACGCTGGCTTTTGTGCAGCAGTAACTCACAGAACTACACATTCTGCAATTCTCTCCACTAGCGTAGCCCTGCTTCACAGCGTGCTGCGATCAGACAGATCACTGGATTCTGAACAGGTATTTGTTTTTACAAAGCATCACTGAATTCTGAACAGGTATTTGTTTTTACAAAGCATCAAACTTTGAGCTTTGTTTTCATGTTAGTCAGATGGCCCAACAATGTACCTTGATTTGGAACAACAGAAAACTGATGGAAAGCTAAATACAGTTAGAGCTGTGTAGTAAGCTTGCAGCAAAAATACTTGTCCTCTGAATGCAGAACTGTCATTTGCCTGATGAAACTCTTTAACTTCTTAAAGGCTTAAAATGTGGTTCTGAGACAGACTGTATCAAGAATAGACTCTTTCTGGTATGGGAAACAATATTTTATTCCTTTTATTGGAACTGATTCTTTCCTCTGAAAATCGTTATCTTTCAGTGGAAGAAAAGATAGATCCCTTTGCTTCTCACCTGGCTTGGCTTTAATGGCCTCAAAACAATGCAATGAATATACCAGCCTCTGCTCTACAGAACTGTGCTAAGTTTTATCTTCTGTTTGTTCAGGGGCCTTATGATGTCGTGGTCTTGCCTGGAGGTAACCTTGGAGCTCAGAACTTGTCAGAGGTAAGATTCTGGTGTCTTGGCGTACCTAGCCAAGCAGAGTAAAAAAGGAAGGATGCTCTGTATTGTGGGGAAGTCCCTGTTCATAATTATACAAAGATGTAATTATCACAAATGAATATTTAATTCTATGAAGCGTGAAACAAGCTGAACCCACAGGGGTCTGTATTCTTTAGCTCAAGAATTCTATCTCTGATGGGAGCTGTTTTAGAGATGGTATAAACACTTTGTGGAAGGTAGGCAGACGAACAATTCGATCTATCAGGTAGGAGTTATATGGTATCACATAGTTTTTAGGGCCTGGAATATGAGACAAATATCCCATCTAAATCTTTTTGAGAATGATAGAGACTATCGGGAAGTAGCTCATGAATACTCTTTCC